AGTTACCAGATCAAGTGTGAATGATTGTGGATGGGCCAGGCGGTGCATTCCAGGAGGAGAGAGAGCAGTCAGAACACAAACACCACACAAAATCTCACAAAGGTTGAGTTATTGACTCTAAAATCAAAAGACAAACTGACTCAACCGAAGAGACGTAGGGAAAGAAAGTGCAAACCAAATGGTTGGGTTGCCTCCCAACAAGCGCTTCTTTCACGTCGTGAGCCGGACAGTAGCTCCTAACTTTTGGTCCATGCTAGAACCTCTTTGAAGTTGAGATTCTCATCTATGAGGTGGAGTCTCAAGTCACGAGCAAGTGGTGTGGCAGGTGATGAAGGCTCGTGCACTTGATGCAGCTGAAGTCTCCACCCTCGAGACCTCTTCTTCGTTTCTTCTCTTGCCTCATTGCCCCAAACCAAATATAACCGTATCGACTGACCACCATCGCGTCCACCAAGATGGACCGATGTTAATGTGGCCTTGGTCTGGCAAAGAGACACTGCAAATGGGTCCTTGCTAAGTAGTCCCTTGAAGTTTGGTGGGGATATTACTTGTATTATAGGGCCGGTGCAAGCCTCTTCCACCTCAACTTTAGGGCTGGGAAAATGGTTGGCGGTTTGCGGTTAAACCGACAACCGCACCGAAACCGCGCGGTTATTGGTTAACCGCAAACCGCATATTTGGCCTATTTTGCGGTCGCGGTTGGAGATATGGCCTGTTTTGCGGTTTGCGGTTTAACCGCAACCGAAACCGCAAATCCATATAACCGCAAAGCTAACCGCGAAACCAGACCCAACCCATAATTTACCCCTAGCCCAGCCCATAATTGACCCCAGCCCAGCCAGCAGGATTGTGGCATTGTGCATTTGTGCTTGTGGATTGTGTTATTTGGATATGCAGACAGATGTAGGGGCTTGATGGAAGTGAAAATAGACAAAACAGTAGCTGCTGTGTTTTTTTTCATGATTTTTTTGCGGTTAGTTCGCGGTTAATTGTCAGTTAGAGTGCTAACTGCGGTTTCATATGGTGTTTCGGTTGTTGCGGTTTTCAAAACCATAAACCGCGGTTCACCGCTAACCGCGTTCTGCGGTTTTTGGTTAACCGCTAACCGTTGCGGTCGCGGTCGCGGTTGGCCAATATGGGTGTTTTGCGGTTGCAGTTAACCGCAAATTGCGGTGCAGTTAACCGCAACCGCACCGTTTCCCACCCCTACTCAACTTCATCCTCAGCCTGGACACCACTCGCTTCTTCAACCCCCCTTCCTTCTTCAAAATGTGGTCTCTCTCCTTGGAAAAGATCAAGAACTACCTATTCTTTGCTTTCTTCCTCATCCTCCACAACTTTTTGCCTCACCCTTTCTCTCTCTTCTTCTTCCATAACGGATTGGAGAGCAAGTCGCCATGCAAGGTTCTCAATAAGTTCAGCTTGCATCTCCTCGCTCGGGCCCAGCATGTCAGAGCGGAAATGGGGAAAGTTGTGATCTACCACCAGAGGATACACTTGATCATGATTATCATGGGATCTTTCTGTGACAACTTCTGTATGCTCCTCAACATCCTCATGATTGCCTTCTTCTTCCTCCACCTCTACTTGTATGGCAGCATAAAGGTTGTCTTGAGAAAACTATGAACAAGCTTTCTCAATGACCTCTATGTACTTCTTTATGCTCCGAAGGGTATCCTCTGTTTCACGGGGAAATGAGACGTTAGTTTGGGAAATGGCCTGGATATGAGGATCCATCTCGGGAAATGATCTCTTAGGTACTCGAGCAATCTGCTCCACGAGAAGCCTCAAGTGATAGTTTGGATCTGGTTGTGGAGTGTAGCATGGCTCTGCCGGATGGCCCGTGATGGCCGCCATGGCTAACTCCAGCTCCGATGGCCCTTCTGGTTGTGGGAGAAATTCTTCTTGATAAGGAGGTTGTTCTTGATATGCCCAGGGGTCTGATTGTTCTCCGTAGTAAGGGGGTTGGTACTGAACCAGGTGCCATAGTCTTATCCTCCTTGATTGCTCCAGGAAGTCTCGGGGTAATACCACTCAGATGGTGGTGGATACCCCCACTGGTTGGAGAAGCCATTAGGATCCATGATTCAGATATGCACCAACAAAAACAAAAACACCCAAGTGAAAAGCAAGGGTGGAAAAAACGCTAAAGTAACAAAATTATGCCTTTCCTAATAATCTAGAAAGTTCCCTAGCAACGGCGCCAAAAACTTGTCACGCTACGACACAACACCTAACAATGGCCAAGTGTAACCAATGAAAGGAGCTGCAGTATAGTGGTGCAAGTAATAAATATCGAATCATCGGGTGACTAGATGTACTATTACTCAACTTCAGTTCATTATCTAGAAAATCAGATTAAGGATTGATTAACTAAACTTCTCTACTAACTAAACTAAGTGAAACTACTAATTATAGTTTGGGAACTCACTTAGGTATGATTCCCCCTAGATCCTCAATTAGGTCCAAGCTGTAATTCCTTTTGGTTGTTTTACTGTTGATTAAACTGCGGAAGATCCTAAATTAGCTTGGAATCTCTTAAGCTGACCAAGCCCTCTTAGACAAAATACCCGGCAGGCGACTAGCCTTCACCGGGCTAAGCCGATTCACACAAATATCCACTACTAGAATGAATTCCAGTACAAAGCAGTGAATTGACTGACTCTCGCACAACCAATTCACTACTATCAATCAAGGAAGCTCTCTTAACCTAATTAGATTCTATCTATCAAAGGTTAAAGCAGAAATCAAGAGAATTTGATCAGGATTCAATTGACTCAATAAATCATGTCTCAATCGATTATAATCACACAATATAGCCTCCAAAACTTCATACACGAAAGATCCTAACATATGGAACTAGGGTTCCTCAAAACCTAAGTGAAGGGAAGTTACTCCATAGAGAAGAGAGAGACTGCAGAAATCTAATCTAGATCTTCAATCTCCATCTCCAAGCTTGATTCTCGAGCTCCAATGGTGAAGAAATCCTCCAAAATAGCTCCAAGAATGGCTCTAGATCACCCTCTCGCTCTTTGGTTCGTCCATTGGGTGTTTGGGATCCAAACCCCAGCTCTCCCTCTCTAAAAATCGCAAAACAACTTTTATACCCGCTGAGATTCGCACCCCCTACTTGCACGGCCGTGCAAATTGGGGTTTTGGCCTTGCAAACCCCTTGTAAAACTCACACGGCCGTGCAGAATTTTACACGGTCGTGCACAATTTCCAGCATGCACTCCTAAGCTTCGTTGAGCTCGTTTGAGCTCGTTTGACATCCGATTCAGGTGCCGTTTGATCCCAGATGCTCGTAGTCTCGTCCTATTTCTTTTCATGATAAGATTACATGATTTTTCATCAATAAAATGAGGTATAAATCCATTCTTCCTCAAGTCATTCTCGAGTTTCTCATCCCGAGTCGCCAATTGATCTCCGATTGACTTGAAACTTGCGCCTAAGCTTCACTTTACATGCTAGGACCGGAAATGTGACAAAGGAACACAAACTAGCGTAAAATAATCCAAGAAAAAAAAAACTCAAGCCAAAATAATCAAGAAACGAGGGTGCAAACATGTGCAAATACGACGTTATCAATAAGTTCACGGTCAATGGCTCCAGTTCATGGTCTTAGCGACCATGAACTCCCTTGGCGTCAGTAGCCTTTGAAACCTCTCTGGATGCCTCGCTCTTCACGGGTTGTGGTTCTAGTTCACGATCCTAGAGACCGTGAACTCCAATTGTGGACCATGAACTGCGGGTGCTTCCTGGGCGCCTGTGCTTCACTGTTACGGGGCAATTGTCACGGTAATCTGGACTTTTTCTTTGGTTTTTGTGTTTTTTGACTTCCAATCATCCCGAAACTCGTCATCGATCCTTCCACACGTGCTAGGACCTGGAATGTATAAAAAAAGGACAACCTAGTGTGAAATATGTCGAGGGACGATGAAATGCAAAGTCAAACTATCAAGAAATGAGGTGCAAAATGTGTACAATTGGACCCGAATCACGAACACTAGAAAAGCATAAAATATGACAAAGTGGGGTCGGTTCCCCTATGTAATCTTTCGGCACAACGGCATAAACTGGTTTGACAACCTTGAATTTGACAAAAGAGTAAAAACAAACACAAAATCAAATAAAAAGAAGAACAATATTATCACCCACTTCCAATAAGACAAAGAAGTCCCCAACATTGACGCTAAATTTGATATGCTATGGTATATGGTCCAAATTTACTAGGTAGGTGACCAAGATCGTTTTCTATCTTACCTTTCATATTCCACTACTCAGATAGTGAAGATGAGGTGCCTCAGTTTTATAAAGTCTTTGAAATGAGTGAGAAAGGAAGTAAAACAAGTAAGGGCTAATAACACTGGAAATACTATCCTTTAGCGAAAGTGTCATTTATATTATATAATTTTCGATATGACAATTATATACCGACCGTTAAGTTTTTTGTTAATACTTAACAAAAAATACAGTCAACAATGACATGGTAGCTGACATGGTAAATACAAAATAAAATAAAAATTTATAAAAATTATCCAATTAAATACAAAAATTCACAAAAAATCTTTAAAAATATTAAAGGGCTTTTAATTTTAACCCTATGCCACGTAATCCTCGGTGACACCTGAGAGTGTCCACGTAAGCCACCCTTTCTTCAGTCCGCAACCGTCTCTCGGCCGCTATTTTCTCTACTTTTGGAAAATCCCAATATTTTGTTATTTCCTTACTCTTCGTTAGGGCTGGCATTTCGGTTTGCGGTTAGCGGGTAACTGCCGGTTTTAACCGAAAACCGCCGGTTACCAGCTAACCGAAAACCGACCGGTTACCTTGACGGTCGGTGGTCGGATGGGAAAAGGAAGGGGTCGGTTGACCGAGTAACCGACGGCAATTAACCGCGGTTATCCGACTAACCGGGCCAACCGAGACCCACCTCACTTTCCTCAAAATATGTCCAGATTCATCCCCCATTCCCACATCTTAAATAAATAAAAAATCACAAATAGAGGAAGAAGAAAAGCAGATCTACACTCTTCGCCCTTCCCACCATCGGCACCGCCCCCAAGCCCACCTCCCATCGTCGGCACCGCCCCCAAGCCCACCTCCCATCGTCGGATCTACCCTCTTGGCCCTTCCCACCGTCGGCACCGCCCCCAAGCCCACCTTCCCACCGCATGCACCGCCCCCATCCCACCTCCCTTACCTATTCCGCCGCCAAGTCCTCCGCCAAACCCGCCACCTGCACCCGCTCCACATCCTCACCGCGGCGGAGGCCATCGCCGGCAGTCGGTCAAGGAGACCAAAGAGAAGAAGGAGAAGGAATAAGCCCCTCCCGCCGCCGCCGAGGCCTTGAAAGAAAAGGAGACGGAGCAGACCGTCAAGGTGGAAGGAGAAGAAGCCACCAAAGAGGAAGCTCCTGCCCCCGCAGAAGAAGAGAAGAAAGAGGAAGAGAGCGGATGTCGGCGATTGAGGGAGAGGCATAACGATTTTGGCTTGGCGGGCGGCGGCGATTTTGGCTTGGCGGGCGGCGGCAAGGTTTTTCCAGAGGAAGAAGAGAATCGAGAGAGAGAGTAGGGAGAGAGATAGGTTGCTTTTATTTTTTTTTTTTTTCGATTCTCTGGAAAGGAAGAAGAAGAATCGAGAAGGGAGAGGGGTGAGTGGTGCAGGATTTTAGTTGCTTTTAATTTTTTTTTTTTTTTAGAAAGGGTATATTCCGGTTGGCCGAACCGTCCCCTTCTATTTCGGTTGCGCCGGGTTAACCGTGGATTAACCGAAACCGCCCGGTCGGTTTTACGGATAACCGATGCACAGGGCCGGTCGGTTGGCGGTAAGGCCTGGTCTGGTCTCGGTTTAACCGAAAACCGAGAAATCGGTTTTCGGTTAAACCGAAACCGACCGGTTGACAGCCCTACTCTTCGTTCTACAACCTACAATTTCACTGAGAGCGGTTTCAGCGGCGGCGCTTGAAATTATTTGCCATCATGGCGACGGTTGTCGGTTCAGCAACGAAGTTCGGGACAACCGAATGGCAGTAACAAAGGGACATAGGAACAGCCAGCAGGGCTTCTCTCATATTCATCCGGTAATCCGATGATGGATTATGGAGATTAAGATATGACGACTCCCGACGATGTGTCAATGGATGCAGACGATGAAGGAATTGTGATTCAACGCAGGGAAAACAAAATATGACGATGAAGATGGTGATTGCGGCAACGACGACAGTGCTGTGTTTGGGTAACAAAGCGAAAGAGAAGTAGTCAGCAGAGCCTCTCTCATATTCATCCGGCAATCTGACGATGAATAAAGAGACGACTCCACGATGGAGTCAAAAGATGATGAAGGCATTGTGATTCAACGCGGGGAACAAAATTAGACGACAATTATGTAATTGCGGCAACGAGGACGATTGCGCTAAATTTGCGGAACCAAGTGTTGTAAAAGCCGACTTCATTATGTGTATTTTAATGTTGTTCCTTCGTTCAATAAAAAATTGGTGTTTCAAAAGTGACAAGTGACATCAGATAACATACAATTTCTTATTGTTATCTTTTGGCCGTAGTTCATGTGGATTACAAAATTTCAATAGTGATCTTCTTCTACAATTCATTCTGAATTTGTAATAGTTGTCGTGGTTGATAAATCCGTTTGATGAATTTTGTTTCTCCATTTCATTTTAGAAATTTCAACCTCATTGGTGCAAGCTTTTCAATATCTCTGTTATTCTGTTTTGTTCATCTCCATTTACAGGTCACAAAATATGGATGACTTGCGTAGCTTTTTTGGACCTCCAACGTAGAGTGCAATTAGGTTTCTTTTCCTTTCTTTATTTCCCCTTATTACCATCATATTGTCAATTTCCTTTTTAAATTGCTTCAATGCACAGATGAAAAAATAGAGTATGATTTTACAATGATCAATTTTACAAATGATCAAATTGGACCTTCAAACGGTAAGAACTCTTTATTCCAGTTCCATTTTACAATTATCAATTTGCTTTTCTAATTTCATGGTTTGTCCTGATTTTCTAATTGTGTGAACAAGCTATTTGAGGCTATAGGTAATGTTGTCAAAAACGAGTTTTTACGTAGAAACGATTTGGTGATCTAAAAACCTAAAATCGTAAGTTTTTGAGTTTTAAAGCGGAGTTTTAACTACATAAATTATAAAAACTGAGATTTTGTGTAGAAACATAAAATCGTAAGTTCTAAAGTTTTAAATCGCGATTTTGACTACATTGCCTTTAGGTATTTAACTGGATAGACCATAATTGGTGTCCTTTGGACGAGGATTAATCCAAATATTCGAATATGTTTGTTAAGTGTTAATCGACAACGATATTACATATTTATGAGTGACAATAACAAAGAGCATCAAACTTATGCACAAATATCGCTCATAATAAATATTACTAATTAAATGATCAAATGAAACCGGTCGGGTACAAAGCTAGTTGAAACAAAAAAGGATTGGCATCCTTTTATTTAATTTATATGAGCAAGTTCAGTTATGTTAGTCATTTTCTTTTTACCCATTATTGGATTTTATCCAATATTTTTACTTTTCAGAATTAACTCACTTTCTACGGTTGAAACCACATTATTGGTGTGGAATTTTCGGTGAAGTCCGACTATATCTCTTGGCATATTTTAATCTCTTCGGTTAGAGATTTTTAGCACCTTGTGGTGCCTTTGTAGCTGGTTTCTGTACAGGAAAATTTAGTATTGTGAAGTTATGATCGAGCATCTCCTCAACCTGTGATGGAAAGCAAGTCTCGTTAAATGATTTATTCAATTGTGACAAAGAATCTTCAAGGATGTGCAACTGACTCGGTCGACTTCTCAGGTGATGGAACTATTCCATTTTACTTTCGTAATTTTATTACGGTATTATCGATGATCATATCAAATTACTTCTCTTTAGTGAAGCTATGTGATTGTATCTTACCCTTAATGTATTGATTGTTACATATTGCGGGGTTTCTCAACTGATCAACATGGATGCTACATCGAGGAAGCATTCTCTGCCCTGTGCATGAGCCACTTACAGGGAAGTTTCTTTTTTCTCTCTTCCTGTCCCTCGTGTCAGTTTCGTGTCTTTTCGCTCCTTGGAGCTTTCTCAGAGCTGCCCACCTAGTGGCATAATAGGCTCTTTCATCGGGAATCCGGTTGCATACGGATTACCGTTCTTTATTATTATATGTTTTGTTTTTTGTTGTCCGTCCATGCTTTGGGGCTTATCTTGGATAAAAAAAAAGGATTGGCATCCGCCCACTGCTCTCACCTCTCTCCAATCCCCTGCCCCCAACTCCTCTCTCCGTCCCTGCAGGCTGTACAAGCCAACGAGAAGAAAAGAGAGAGGTACAATTCTGGGGAGGATTGGTCGTTCCATTCTAATCCCACGAGTCTGCAACCGAAAGCCAGGAACAAGGAGGAGGGAGAAGCGAACAGGAAACTCGAACCGATTACGAAGTCCAAATCGGATCCCACTTATTCAGACTCGTCTGCCGAAAAGATATGCTTTTAAGATGTTAAATCGAAGGAGGTGAAGGAAACGATGGAGGCAGCGAGAATCGGGAGGAGAAATCTTTTAGCGAGACGTAGCAGTAACTGGTTAGGGCAACGCCACTGGAGTCGCTGCTGTGACAAGCCGTGTAAAAGAGATCGGGCCGCCGTGACCAGCAACAGTGGCGGTGGAGTGTCCGCCATCGGTCCCCGATGTGTAATCGGATCGATCGGAGCTAAATAAGAACCAGACGTCTAGAAATCGGAGGGCCGTAGAGGAAGGGTTTTGCATCAAGATGGCCTCGGAGTAGAGGTGGCAATTGGATCGGATTCGTGGATTCGTGGATTGGATTGGTGGATCAATGGATCAAATGGATTGGATCCAATGGATTGGTGGATTCATGGATTGGATCAAATGGATTGGTGGATTGATCCATGAATCCAAATGACATCCAAGGCTTGGACCACAATGTAATTTTTGAAAAGTTTATGTACTAAAATGTCATGATGAAAAAATTTAGGTACCAAAATATAATTTTCCAATGTTATTTTTCGTATAAAACTATAAATTTTAGGTACCAAATTGTAAAATATAAAAAATATAGGTACCAAATCGTAATTTGTCATTTGAATCCATGGATTGATCCATAAATCCACCAATCCAATTGGATTTGGATCAAATGGATTGGATTTAAATGGATTGGATTAGGTGGATAATTTGGTGGATGGATTGGATTGGATTCATGAATTTGAATACTAATTGCCACCTCTACCTCGGAGAGACATATGCTAGATCCCGATTTGGAATTCGATCCCGATATACATATAGGGCTAGGTAATTGAGCAAAGTGGACGACGGAGGTTACGACGAGGCCGTCTATTTCGATAACCATGGTGGCTCTTCTCGAACTGGGTTCATGGGAGTGGTGGATTTGGTAGGAAACATAGTGGGAATAATGGAAGAAGATTGTTGAAGATGTTGATGTAGAGTTTTTTGGGGTGAGTTGCATTCTCAACGATGGAAATTGGGGCTGGCGGCGGCCGGCGAGGGTGGGTGTGTCGTGGTGGGTGAGGTTAACCAAATATTTATTTCCAATAAAAATATTAAAAATTTCATTATTAAAAATTAATTTAAATTTAAATATTATTTTTCTACGTGGCGTCTACGTGTCGCATACGTGGATGACACATAAGCGCCACTTCATCAATGCTCAGACAAAGGTTGACCGCCGTTAAGTCAATGGTTAACTTTAATAGTCAACAAAAATCCGCGCAACACAAATGACGCAAACCCCTAATATGTTGGAATGTTTTTGTGTTTATTGAAAGTGCGTAATATAAATGGCACTTTGGCTAAAGGATGGTATTTTCAGTGGTATTAGCCCAAAAGGTAAAGCAAAGCATTTGAAAACGAAATGCGCAGAAAGGAAAGGTGTTGCATATGCATTGTTTTCCCTAGAGATTCTATGCTAGTATTTAATGGATACATCTAATTACTGATATTCACACGGATCTCTCCACTCACTTTTTGATCCAATATCCTACCCTTTCCGGTGGACCTATCATTTAGAGATGGATTAGGTTGGCATGCATATAGCTAATAAGTTATGCTATCACGATTACCCTTTTCCTTTGTCGCCATACTATCTATACATACATGTATCATTTATTGGTGCGAATAACCATACAAGATATTGCCTCCAATCATCTCATATGAACACAACTAAGGATCATAATCAATAAAAGTCAAACATCATACATAATTTTTGGAATCTTTAAGGTTCACAACTTACACAATAGAATTTTATATCCACTCATATTCGAAGGAAAGCACAAAACACAAAAGTACCCGACATCTCGAGTTTTTGGCGCCTTTGGTCACAAGGTAGGTCACTATTGTTGTTCTTTGGAGTTTCTTGACATTTTTTAACTTAGAAGTTTCTCGGGAGGTAGAACAACACCTTGTAAGGTTTCTAGGAATGACTCGTCTTCTAGTGCCTGCCATTACACAATACTCTGGGCATCGATTAAGGACATGTGAACTTTAGAA